GAGTCCAAGGAGTTGGAGCCTGTGACCTCAGGGCTACCCTCCCCCTCCCTCACATGGCCTGTTCCTGCCCAGTCTGGTTTGTGAATAGTTCTTGGCAAATACCCCGGAGGAGAATAGAGCCACTAACAATAGCAACTCCCTTTTTAGCTTTAATCTCTTGGTACTCAGGACTGTGAATTTAGGAAAACCCAAAATAACCTATGTAATTACAGTGGGTTACCCTAACAGTCTACTTCTGTTATTACCAACGTTCGACGTCACTCCAGTAGATATTTAGCTGCTTGTAGTGGAAAGAGTACTGGGCTTATGGCCAGACAGACCTAGATTTCAGACCTAGTTCAGCTATTTACTAGTTTTATGACATTGGGCAAGTCACTAATTTGAGCCTGTTGGAATTAAATGAGCAAGTGTACATGTAAGTGCTTGGAACCCTGCAAAGTGTTACACAAAGTTAAACCATTGCTATTGAGAAGTGAGGATAGAAAAGTTTTAGGAAAAAGAAGAAATTCAAATCTTCGTGAAGCACTGGAATCAACTTGAAGCGAGATAGTGTTTACCTCTGTTCAACATCATGCTCGGTCTTAAAAAAAAACAAAACTAGGGACACCTGGGTGGCTCAGTCAGTTAAGCGTATGCCTTCGGCTCAGGTTATGATCCCAGGGTCCTGGGATCAAGTCCCACATTGGGCTCCCTGCTCAGTGGAGATCCTGCTTCTCCCTCTCCCTCTGCCTGCTGCTCTGCCTACTTGTGCTCGCTCTGTCAAATAAATAAATAAAATCTTAAAAAAAAAAAAAAACTATAGTCTCCACTTAAAGGTAAAGGAAGTCCTTTTTTAATTTTATTTTTACTTTTTTAAAAGATCTTATTTATTTATTTGAGAGTGAAAGAGAGAGAGAGAGAGAGGGAGAGAAAGCACGAGCAAGGGGAGGGAGAAGCGGACTCCCCGTTGAGCAGGGAGCCCGACACGGGGCTCTAGCCCAGTATCTGGAGATTATGACCTGAGCCGAAGGCAGACACTTTAACTGACTGAGCCACCTAAGTGCCCCTTTAAAGATTTATTTATTTATTTGTGTGTGAGAGAGTTGGGGGGAGGTGCAGAAGGAGAGAGAGAGAGAGGGAGAGAGAGAGAGCGAGAATCCTGGATCAGACTTGCTGCTGAGCTTGGAGCCTGACCTGGGGCTTGATTCCAAGACCCCAAGACCATGACCTCAACCGAAACCAAGAGTTGGCCGCTTAATTGACTGAGCCACCCAGGCACCCCTATAGTTAAGGGCAGTGTTACTTTTTGTTCATGATGAATTTGGAAAAGGGAAGGATTTGGTGGTTCCTTTCAAGGCAAGGATTGATGAAGCAGGAAGATGAGTCCTCATATGGAATAAGTACAGGAAAGAGGGTTATTATCCACTTACATGCCAACTATGCCACCTTAAACTGGTTTTCTCTGAAATGCAGCCATTGTTTTCATCACTTAAATTTTTATTTTATATGTAGTGAAAGAGGCTGGTCCTTCAGACCTAGATGTATTTTTGCCCCATATCACTCTTGTGCATACATAAAAAGGTAAACATAAATGAAAGAAACTTGGTTAAAGGTTTTTTTCTAAGGCAACGCGACTAACTGCCACCTGGCATCGTGATGATAAGATCACCTGATCTCAGACATGGTAAAATAGAGAAAATCACAGCTAGAAGCACCCCCATACCTGCCACCCTGCTTGGATACAAAACAATTCCCCCACCTTGTTGTAATTCTTTGTGCATCAGGTCTGGAAGTACCTTTCAAGGACGTGTGTAAAGCACCTGCCAGAACCACTTACATGATTCTGCCATAACTGTGCTGGCTCCTCATCCTCCTGGGCCCTTAGGGCTGGCTGCTCCTGACATTGCTGTGTTGATCCGTCTTGGGCCTGCAGACCTGGTTGCTACCTTGCACACAGCACTGTTGTTGCTGCCCCTGCTGCTACCCCTGTTCTTGACCCTTTGGCAGGGCCCGTAGGTTTCATGACTACAGAAGAGGCTGTGCTTTGGATGGATTCACTGGGAAGTCTATAAACAGCAGGTGTGAGAGGCGTATTGGACTCCTTTTTCTACAGCATAATCAAAGGGGCTCCCAGACCCCTCTAGGACCATGTGAAGCTTCCTGATACTGGCCTTATCCTGATCCCCTTTTCCACGGAACTCCTATGGAGTGGAGAGAACAGCAAAGGTAGAGAAGATGGAGCAGGAGACCAGAAGGGCCTGCTCTCCTCTCTTCCTGTAACTGAGTACAACAAAGGACTATAACTAGACAAACTTTTGAGGTCATCAATTCAAGCTCCCACCTGATGCAGCAATGTCTTCTACAACGTCTCTGCCAAATGGTCCTTCTAGATTCACTTGAGCGTTCCAGAACTAGGAAAAGCATTATTACAAAGCCCCAGTGAACTTCCTCACATACCTTTATTTTCTATATTTATGCTACTGTTTCTGTAGGAATTGCTGAGTCAAGGGTATGCACACTACATTTTGATAGCAGGGAACAGACTGTGCATGTGTTCACGCATAGGTGTTACAGTGATTTATACAAACTTAGGGCATGGCAGTCACAGGAAGACAGATTACAGTTCAAATAAAGGAAGAATTCCCTAATCATTAAAAACAGATCACAACAGATCACTCTTTGATTGGTGTAGTGAGCATTCAAGAAGAGATTGGACGATTATGATGCTATAGATGGGTATGAGATTAGAGCAGCTAATATACAAGGAATGTCTGAATGCCTTGTGGTAAATTCTAGAGAAACAAAGGAACCTCTCCGATGTGGCAAGTCCATCGGTGGTGGCCCATTTAGGAATGGATTCTTTAACATGAAATGCATTTTCCAGGTGAGCCACAGAAAGCACAAAGCACTTTGCAGCTTTTAAATGTTCTTCCAGGGGCACCTGGGTGACTCAGTTGGTTAAGCGTCTGCCTTTGGCTCAGGTCAGGATCTCAGGGTCCTGGGTTGGGCTCCCTGCTCCGTGGGGAGTTTGCATCTCCCTCTCCCTTTGCCCCTCCCTCCTGCTCATGCTCTCTCTCAAATAAATAAATAAATAAATAAATAAATAAATAAATAAATAAATCCTAAAATAAATAAATAAATAAATCCTAAAATAAATAAATAAATAAAATCCTAAAAAATAAATGTTCTCCCAAAGGCCTTTGGCTCCATCTTGCTGAGTTGCAGCAGAGACCTAGTGCTGAGCTCTTCTCATCTCTGACTCAATAGTAGGAATGTCCACTGTGTTCCCAACTATGATGGCCTGGGGATTTCTATAACCCCCCACTGATGGTCTCAGGAGATAAATGGGCTTTTCCCAAAGGCAAAGAAGTCGTCCATGTGTCTGAAGGGATACAAACCTACAAGTAGTAAAAACAGCCAGTGGCAAGCTTCTGGTGCAGCTGCTGTTTCCCGACTTTCAAAGGAATCAGCTTGGAGAGCTCTAAAGTCTTTGTAGGCCTCTGCCCTTTTCCTTTGATGACATGGCCATCTCCAGCATGCTTCTTCATAGCCTGTGGCTAGGTGGGCCAACAGGGTGACAGCAAGTGGCAGAAACTAGGGCTGGTGGATGCAATGTCTGTGTCACCATTTGGATTTGGTTGTGTACATCCAGCATGTTCTCTCTTTTACTGATCTGACCGAAGTTTCCCTCAAACACAGTTGAGTGCTTGAATACATCATACTCTCCTCCTCCCTTGTCCAGCTGTCACTGAAGTTTATTAAACTGGTCCACTGCACAGCCAGCCACTGGAAATTCACTAGGGCAGTGACATGGATTTACCACCCACGTTTACAGTTTATCTACCACCTCCAAGGGGTCTGTAATAGTTTGTTCTTTTTGCCTTATAACAAATGTATGGCTTAAAACAACACACACTCATTATCTCACAATTTCCATGGGTCGGGAGTCTGGGCATTGCTTCAGTGAGTCCTTGCCCAGGATCTCACAAGTATGCAATCAAGGTGTATGCCCGGGCTGGGGCCTCACCTGAAGCTTGGGATCCTCTTTCAAGATCACATGGCTTTTGGGCGCCTGGGTGGCTCAGTCCGTTAAGCAATTGCCTTCAGCTCAGGTCATGATCCTGGAGTCCCGGGATCAAGTCCCGCATCGGGCTCCCTGCTCCGCAGGGAGTCTGCTTCTCCCTCTGACCCTACCCCCTCTCATGTACTCTCTCTCATTCTCACTCTCTCGAATGAATAAATAAATCTTTAAAAAAAAAAGATCACATGGCTTTTGAACAAATTCATTTCCTTGAAGCCGTCCAATTCATGGTGCCTCTATCCCAGTTCCTATCTGTTCCCTTTACAACGTAAATCACAATTATTTTTTGTCGGTGAATTCCTTGACGGAAAGAACCTAGCAGAGTAGTTTAGCATATAATTGTTAGCTTAATCAAGTATTCTATTTGGCTATTTGTAACCCATATCACTTTGCTAATTAGTTTGCTATCATCTAGAGGGCAGAGCCCTTTATCATTCGTTTGTCTCCCTCCAGGGGGAGGTCTAGTCCAGCGCATGGTTTAGCATTGCTCAAATCTGATGGTTTTTTGTTTGAAAAAAATCAGATGCAAGAATAAAGGTAGGATCGGGAGAGCAAGAGAAGGTGTAGCACAGCAGAGGGATTTTGCGAAAACTCACGGGGGCAGAAAATGGGAGAGGCCCAGAGCATAAGGCAGCCATCTTACTTAAATTTCAAGAAGGCGGTCCACCCCCACGTGATGTCAGAGAAGACTGCAAGAAGCTGAAGACACGCCTCTCGCGAGAGGAAAGATAGCCCAGGAGCAAGTGTACGCCCGTCCGTGCCCCGCCTTCCCTGAGCCCCACCCACTCCCCGGTCCTCACTCCCACCTTGAACCAGCCACGTGTGACGCCATGACGCGTGCGTGCCCGCGGCGCAGGGGGCGGGCCCGCAGCGCGCCACCGGAGGAGGAAGTGGTGCGTTTGTTGCTCCCTCTGCGCCCACTGCTGGCTCCCGGGGCGCGGAGAGGGGCAGCTGCCGTCGCCGCTGCGTCGTCCCCTTTACTACTGTTTTCCTCCATGTGCCCCGGCGCCGTCGCTCCCCTTCCTCAGGCCGCCGCTTACCCCGGGGTCTATGGAAGTAATGGAAGGACCCCTCAACCTGGTGAGTAGCCCACAGAGGGTCGCGTCCGCCCTCGGGAGCTCTTGCTTCAGGAGTCCGGTCGCGTCTCCGGCTTGCTGCAGACCCTTGAGGCCGGGAGGCGGGTTTGGCGGGGGTGGGCCTGAGGGGTAGGGGAGGCGAGCAGGCGTGGTCCCCCAGCGGCTCCGCGCAAGCAGCTCCAGAAGTTGCCCCCTTTGGTATCCCCGGGAAGTTATCACGTCCCACTTCCCGCCGCCCCGGGGCTCCCCTTGTCGCAGTGCCCTGAGCGAGGGGCTTCCACCAGCCGGGAAAGCCGCCACCTCTTCAGGCTGGAGGAAATGCCTCCAAGCGCCACGTAACCACCTCGTTGCAGCCTGGAGGGGCTCTGAAGCCGGCCAGGCAGCAGTGGTGTGTAATGCTGGGTTTAACTTCTAACACATAGGGTCTGAAGTCTGAGCCTCCTTAGTTTGGAGAGTTGGAGTAATAGCCACCCCCATTTTTCCCTCCACCCATTTCTCATCTACATTCAGATGCATAAACTGAGAATCTCCCTTCTCGAATAAGTTAGAGACAGCTGGATAAAAAAGAGGGCCGTCCCTGTTTTTAGCTCCTTTTCATCACTTTAGGCATCATGAAAATACGGTAGGTGTTTGCCCTTCTCAGAAAAAGCACTCGCTCATAGGCTATTGGCATTTCAGATGTTCCCATTAAAACAGCAGCGAGCAACACAAGTTCTTTTCTGACTACTGACTGACTACTGCATCTTTCGGTTTCTTAGAGGGTACCTATTTTGGATAGAGAAGTCAGATTATTTAAGGTTGTAGACAGGCAGGAGGAACTTTTGGAGTCACAAGTTTGCAGTTTATTTGCGGTAGTGGGCGATGGTGGCATTGGAGAAAGGGAGGTAGGGAGAATTAGTTTCTCAGGTTGGAACTCTGAACCCTAGTGTCGTGGAAGAGCCCTAGGCTGCATTTAAGCCATTCTATAGAGACGCAGTAGAGCTTGGTGGTTTGAATAAGGATTCAGGAGCTAGACTGCTTGGATTTCAGTTCTGGCTTTGTCACTTAATAGTTCTGTGACCTTGGGCAAATTAGTTGACCTCACCCTGTTTCTGGTTTGTTGTGAGGATTAAAGGAGTAAATAGGTGTAAAGGGCTTAGAACAGTACCTTGTACCTAGTACAATGTAAGAGTTAGCTATCATAGTAATCAGACCATAAGCTCTTAATTTAAAATCTCATTTGTAAAATGAAGGCTTGGGCTTGCTGCGCTTGAAAAGCCTAAGATTCTAGGACCTATAGCTGTTGTTCCCAAATAACCGATGCCAGGTTAGCTGCTCTGAGAAGCGCCTCCCAGTTTTAAGTGGAGCCTGCCCCCATTGGTAAGAGTTGTTTACACTTAAAAAGAATTGGACAAGATTTGTGAGTTTTTAAAAACCAGGGACATATCTTGCACTTTTTTTGTTTTTAAGGTGACGTATAGTTTACAGTGAAATATAATAGATGGCTCAATACTGAAACTTCACAGGAATATTATTAGAAATAACCAGCAATTTACAGAGTGCTTCAAAGTTCAAGTGTCCTTGCAAAATGACCATTGGTTCAGTTCCAGTTAGCGTCACTTTATTTGGCTAGAGGCTGCAACATAATGCCAGCCAACTGCCCCACTAGTGTGTGGTAGCTTATGAGAAGACTGGAGCTGGGTGACAGTTGTAGATGGAGCAGCAGAATCACCAGTTTAGGGCGCCTGAGTGGCTCAGTTGGTTAAGCGACTGCCTTCGGCTCAGGTCATGATCCTGGAGTCCTGGGATCGAGTCCCGCATCGGGCTCCCTGCTCGGCAGGGAGTCTGCTTCTCCCTCTGACCCTCCTCCCTCTCATGCTCTCTTTCATTCTCTCTCTCTCAAATAAATAAATAAAATCTTAAAAAAAAAAAAAAAGAATCACCAGTTTAGGAAAAATTAGTTAAATGGTGACAGTAGTATTATCTTTCTATAGAGGAGAATTTTGGCTAGAGCCTTGTCAAGTAGGCTAGCATAGTTCCACAATCCAGCCATAAAATATACGTGGACAAGTATCAGAAATTTGGCATCTTGAATTCTTACCGTTTGAGATTTGAAAGATCTGAGTTCTAGCTTAGCTGTTTATTGGAAGATAACAGTTGGACAGAGATTTAACATTTACTTGAATCATTAAGTGCTAAGTACCAATGAGAAGCCTCTGAATTTGTCACTCAGTTTTAAAAGATGGTTGGTTTTTTTTAAGACTATCACTTTTTTTTATGTCAGCAGTTAACCAACTTAGTATCCATTTGACTAAACGTGAGAAATAGTTCTCAGTGCTATGATTTAATGAGTGCCTGTGAAAATCCCAGTAGTTTATATAGGCTTTTTCTAATGACATTATAGTGTAGTCCAGATTTGTTGTATAAGGGCTTATTACAGTACCTAGGTTTATAATTATGTGTCCTCAGAGCATCCTTGGAATTTAGGAAGAATTGCTTCCTAGTTTTACAGAAAAATAAGCCTAGACTGAGAGAAATTAAGTAATTACTTAGATTGGTGGATCACAACTTATTTTAATATCATGACCTTTTCTAACAATAGTTCTGAATTAATGTACAGTACTCACCATTTTCATTTTAGTATGGTTCTTATTTATATTGAATTGTGGATTCTGTGTCATTAGTGCCTTTGCTTTAGTATTGATTCTCTTATGGAAGGTTTGCAGAAAGGGCCTTATGTGCTTATTTTCTGGCGGTAGATTTTTAAGATACAGAGAGATTGGTTCAAAAATAGTCATTTAAATATATAATACAGATACTGTGTTCTAGTTCTCTGGTTTTTGAAATTGGTCAAAAGAAAAACTAAATCATATTTCCATTGTTGGGGGCAGAGGAATAACTAGTCTTTGGACTGAATAAGTTTTGTTTCATCAGTTTTTTTTCTTTGGTCAATTTTTAATATAGAAAAATTATAACTTATAAAGCTACTTAGTGTATATTTAGGCATTTCTTTCCATTTAAATTTGTCAGAGTGAGTGCTGGTAGCGAATGTCAAAACTTGGCGTGAGATAATTTGTAGTTCTTTGATATGTTTACTGCCTATTTGGGAAGTGATGTCAGACCTTAATTTACACATGACTGTTGCTCATGCTTTGTTTACGTACTCTGCAAACTCTTAAGGACAGGGTCCATGTGACTATGTGGCCACAGTTGTATGTGTTTGGCTCTATTAAGTGCCGAGAATGTTTTGTTGAGTAACTGAGCTTCCCTCTAGAGTGGTGATTTCTCTTCTAAGACAAGGAATCAGATACATGTTCCAGAGAATGGCCTTGTACATACCTGGAGCCTTTATATAATTATCCCATATTACTTATGGTGGCAGTAAAATCTTTAAGGTAAAAAAGAGGCTGTTTTGAACCACTTCCTTGTTGCCCTAAAAAATTTCAAGTTCATCCTGTCACAGCTATGTTGGGCCCAGTGGAAGCACTCTGGGGAAAGGTGGTAGAGCACTAAGACTTATTCAACAATTACTAAGTGCTAGGATTGGCATCCGGCACTTTACATATATAGTTGACCCTTGAACAATGTGAGGATTAGGGGTGCCAGCCTCCTGTCTGGTCAAAAACTCCATGTATAACTTTTCACTCCCCAAAGACTTTTTTTATGATAATACTGTCAATTTTTATTTATAACATTACTACCTTCCTTAAATTTCTGAATATTCCTTTATTATTTCCACATTTTCTGTATATTCAACAATAATCATAAATAATTTTTTAAAAATATTTATTTATTTGGGGGGGCGGGTGATGGGCAGAGGGAGAGGGAGAGTGAATCTAAAGCAGACTCCCTGCTGAATGCAGAGCCTGATGTGGGCTTAATGTGACGACTCTGAGATCATGACCTGAGCTGAAATCAAGAGAGTCTAACGTTCAACGGACTGAGCTACCCAGGCACCCCCCCCATAAAGAATATTATTAATACATGAGAACATAATTTAAATATGCCTCTGTTATTTTATCAGTATTTACATAAACTTAAATATTTCTGTTTCCATGACCCTAATAGTCTTATTTATTTAATGTTTCAAGTTTTTATTTAAATTCTAGTTAACATATAGTGTACTCTTAGTTTCAGGAGTAGAATTTAGTGATTCATCACTTACATATAACACCCATTGCTCAGTCACAAGTATCCTCCTTAACACCTGTCACTTAGTCCACTGCCTCCCCACCCCCCACCTACCCTCCAGCAACCCTATTTGTTTTCTGTAGTTAAGAATCTCTCTAATGGTTTGCTTCCCTCCTTTTTTCTTTCTCTTATGTTCATCTGTTTTTTTTTCCCCTTAAATTCCACATAATGAGTGAAATCATATGGTATTTGTCTCTCTAACTTATTTCGTTTAGCATAATACTCTAGTTCCATCCACATCATTGCAAATGGCAAGATTTCATTCTTTTTGATGACTAATACTCCATTGTATATATATATATACCACATCTCTAACCATTCACCAGTCGATGGACATTTGGGCTCTATCCATAATTTGGCTATTGTGATAATGTTGCTATAAATATTGGCATGCATTGGTCCTTTGAATCACTATTTTTGTATCCTTTGGATAAATTCCTAGTAGTGCAATTGTTGGGTCATAGGGTAGTTTTATTTTTAACTTTTTGAGGAACCTCCATACTCTTTTCCAGAGTGGCTGCACCAGTTTGCATTCCCACCAATAGTGCAAGAGGATTCCCCTTTCTCCGCATCCCCGCCAACCCGTTACTTCTTGTGTTGTTAATTTTAGCCATTCTGACAAGTGTGAGGTGATATCTCACTGTAGTTTTTATTTGTATTTCCCTGATAATGAGCAATGTTGATCATCTTTTCATGTGACTGCTGGCCATCTGGATGTCTTCTTTGGAAAAATGTCTATTCATGTCTTCTGCCCATTTCTTAACTGGGATTGTTTTTGGGGTGTTGATTTTGATAAGTTCTTTATAGATTTTGGACTAACCCTTTCTCAGATATGTCATTTGCAAATATCTTCTCCCATTCTGAAGGTTGCCTTTTAGTTTTGTTGATTGTTTCCTTGAAATCCCAGTAGTTCATTTTCGCTTTTGTTTCCCTTGCCTCTGGAGATGTGTCTAGTAAGAAGTTGCTACGACTGATGTCAGTGGGGTTGCTGCCTGTGTTCTCTAGGATTTTGATAGTTTCCTTTCTCACATTTAGATCTTCCATCCCTTTTGAATTTATTTTTGTGTATGGTGTTTAAGAGAGTGGTCCAGTTTCATTCTTTTGCATGTTGCTGTCCAGTTTTCCCAACTCCCTGAAGACTTAACTAATAGCCTACTGTTGACTGAAAGCCTTACCAATAACATAAACAGTTGATTAACACATATTTTGTATATGTATTATGTACCATATTCTTACAATAAACTAGAGAAAAGAAAATACTAAAATCATAAGGAAAATACTTTACAATACTACACTGTAACTGGAAAAAAAAAATCCACGTGTAAGTGGACCTGTGCAGTTTGAACCAATGTTGTTCAAGGGTCAACTGTATTATTTATCTTCTTAGTAGCTGTATATTTCCCCATTTTACTGATGAAGAATTGAAATGCCAAGTAAATGTGATAGTGGGATTTGAAAGCAAGATTCTCATTAAAATAGTGATGTTACTGTTAGATCAGTGTTTGCCTATTTGTTTTGACTGTGATCCACAGTAAGATTTTTATGTAATGACCAGTACACACATACATATGTATATATTACTGCAGAGCTGCCACATTTTGCATATGCCTCTTGAAATTGTGCAAAATGCAGGGGCTCTCATAAATTTCACCCAAAACAAAACTCTAATATTTACTATTACAAATATTTTTTAAAACTTTAAGAGTAATATTTACTATTATTTACTATATAATGTTTCCTATTAGGTTTTTTAAACTCTAATATTTACTATTAGAGCTTAAATATTTACTCTAATATTTACTATTAGGTTTTTTAAAATGCTGGTTTTGACCCACTAAATTGATTTCACAACTCACTGGTGGATTGTATCCTACAGTTTGTCTTCACAGCAGATGGTGGCAGTTCTGAAGAAAAGTAAGCTACACTGGAAAGGAAGTAGGAAAAAAGATGCAGCAGAGCTGCATGTGGGAGAAATTGATCCTTAGACTTAAAATCAAAAACAGGTCTTGGACTTCTCTAACACTTGAACAGTTATCGTAAGTATAATTACATTACATTAGTTTGACAGGTCAATTCAGTACTTACTTTACTGTTAGGAGATACTGTTTGCCTGTAGGAGACTTACAGTGAATTTATTGGGGAAGGGAGAGTAAATGCAGCTTCTCCTTTGCTCTCTATTGAAGACTCTACCACAAGGTTCAAGAGGACGTTACATTTTCCTCTGCCTTTTTGGTATCGTGTTTGTTATGGTGTTCCTCTTGTCATCTTTACGTACAGCTTTCCCCAAGGGCACGGAAATAAATACATGAAAAGTAATAGAAGGTAATACTGTTTTCCTTTGGGAAAAAAGACAATACTGAATCTGTATTTTTAAAGCAGTTAGTATGTGGAAGTAGGAGGTATTTCTTGGTGGGGGCAGTCACTAAGTAATCTAGTTGTAGTTAGGATTTTCACTGGTTGCAGGTGATGAAAGCCACTTAAGATTAGCTAATGCCAAAAGGGATAGTTTATTGGAATCAAAAGAAAGGTGCAGGAAGGGCAGGGCTACAGTGTAGGTGGGTCTAAGAACATACGGGACCTGAGACTCAAAGATAATCAGATTCTCCCTCTGCCTCTGCAGGCTTACATTATTTGGTTAATTCCTGAATGTCACATTAGTTACAACCACTTAAAACTTTCTTGACAGACTCTGTGTTCCTAAGCTTGAAAATCTAGTGGAACAAATTCTTTAGGTGTCCAGGGGACGAGGTAATATAAGAATATGGCAACTTCCACAAGAATCCTATTTGATTACCTAGGAAGAAGAGCAGTTAACGGGAGTGGGATTATGTGTAAAGTGTTGGCTGTTTCTGAGGAGGATTCAACAAGGGAGGAATTTGTACAGGGCATACAGTAAGACATTACTAAATCTGAAGCTGTTTTACTTTTTGTAAATGTTTTAGAGCATTTTGTAGTATTGGGCTTTCATTTGTACTCAAGAGGGAGTAGGAAAATTCTGGTTAAAATGCTCTAGAGATTGGTTGTTGGATGAAATAGTGAATGAAGTAAGTGCACCAAGGACCAATTATTTTTTTGTATATATGTATATACATATATGTAGTTATTTTAGATTTTGATGCAGTTTTATTCTGATATTTTTCTGAAATACAGTAATGTTATGTCAGCATTTATCAATCTCCCATCCTTCCATGCGACTTAGCATTCATTCCCTCATCCAGCTAACCCAACAACTGTGAGTAAGTACTGTCTCCTCAGATACTGTTCTGGATCTCAGGCATTCAACAGTGAATGGGACAAGGTCCCAATTCTTACAGAACTTTTGTCCCACGTCTCTAGTTTTCATCTGTTGTGTCCTCATTCCGTATTTTCTTTAATATCTGAAGCATAGTTACTTTGAGTTCCTTGATGTGAATTCCAAAATATGGATTATCTCTAGGTCTGTTTCCGTTGTCTTTCTCTTTATTATCAGTCACTTTTTCCTGCTTCACATGCTTAGTAAGTTTATTGTATGTCATGCATTGTGGATGATGTGTTTGTTGTAGAGACTGAAATAGGAATTTTCCTCCAAAGAGTATTTTGTTCTGGTTGGCAGTTAAAATACAGGCAGATCACCATGATCTAGTCTAAATTTGGTTTTTAGGCTTTATTAGGGTGGGTCTATTTTACTTTTACCCATAATGCATAGAGTGTGATCCTTAGTCCCAGGGCTGACCTTCTGGGGCCTGAACTGAAAGCTCTGGTGTTCACCAAGGTTACTGTAGTCTGTACAGCCTAAACTGCAGCCTGTCTCCCCAATGTTGTGTGGCTTCTGAAATGTCTGCGCAGTGTCTGCTAGGCCTTCTGGAGTTATACCCTGTGCATGTGCAGCTTAGGCATTTGGTAAGGACCTGAGAGGACTTAAAAAAAAAAAATTATTTATTTGTCAAAGAGAGACAGAGAGCACAAGCAGGGGGAGAAGCAGGCTCCCCGCTGAGCAGGGACCCCCCCAATGCGGGGCTCGATCCCAGGACCCTGGGATCATGACCTGAGCCGAAGGTAGCCGCTTAACCGACTGAGCCACCCAGGCATCCTCTGAGAGGATTTTTTATGCCTATTTTTAGGTTGTCTTCTTCACTGCAGTTCCCTCCAATCCTGGACCCTCCTCAAATTCCAGCCTTTTGACTCCAGTCCCCATTCCTCTTTCCCAATTAGATACTGCCGTCTACTTGGGTTTTATTTTTCTGCACTACATTTTGGAAAGTGCTCTCAGAAAGAAAGCCAGGTGAATGTAGTTCTCACCTTGTGCTTTTCCCTTTTCTTGAAAATGTAGCCTTCTGTTACTTTTTTGTTTAGTGTCTGTAAACTGTTTTTTTATATACTGTATCCAGCTTTGTAATTGTCTACAGGGGAGGTAAGCCAATGCTAGCTACTCCCTCATAGGGGGATCATAAATCTAAATCTCCATGAGAATTCAAGAGGTTCTCAACAAAATTACATCAGTTTATTGTAAACCCTAAATGCCAGAGAGTACTTTAATATGAGATCGTAGTATCATGAAATCTAATACTTAGTACTCAGTGACAAGTATCACAATCTCATGAGGATTGGCCAGTCACTGCTTTCCCTATGTAAACATCTATTTCTAGGGCTGCTTGGATAGCTCAGTCAGTAGAGCATGTGATTCTTGATCTTGGGTTGTGAGTTGAAGCCCCACATTGGGTGTAGAGTTTACTTAAAAAATTTTCTAGATAGAGTTTGAGGCAGCTTACAGTGAAAGATGAAGATGCCATACTATTAATATATGACTTATACAGTAAAGTATTGCAAGATTTAGGAGCTTAAAATAACACACATTTGTTTTCTCACAATTTCTGTGAGGCAGGAATAAGGGCATGGCTTAGTTGGGTCCTTTGCTATATAGGGTCTCTCAAGACTGCCCTCAAGGTGTCATCTGGGGCTGCAGTCCCATTTGAAGGTTCCACTGGGTCAGGAGCTACTTCCGTGCTTACTCACATGGTTGATGGTAGGATTTAATTCCTCGAGGGCTTTGTAATCAACGTTTGGATTCAGTTCCTTGCTGGTTGTTGGCAGACTACGCTCAGTTTCTTCCACGTGAGCCTTTCCATAGGGCAGTTCACAACAGGACTGGTGGCTTAGTTAAAGTGAGCAAGGGAGAGAAAGTGCTACCAAGATGAAAGTGACAGTCTTTTGTAAACTAATCATAGAAACAACATCCACCACCTTTGCTATATTCTGTTCCTTTAGATGCAAGTCACTAGGTTTAGCACACATGAGAGGGGAAGAGATTACATAAGTGTGTGAATACCAGAAGGCAGGGGTCATTGGGAGCTACATCAGAATCTGCTTACTACAGTTGTTGATAGAGAAGCAAAGAAAATAACTGAATCAACAAAGAATATCAAGAAAATATAATTGTGTGGGACTACATCAAACTAATAAGCTGCACAGCAAAGGAAATCATCGACAAAATGAATGGGAGAAAATATTTGCAAATCCTATATCTGATAAGGTGTTAATGTCTAAAATATATCAAGAATTCATATAACTCAATAGCAGAAAAGCAAACAGTCCAATTAAAAAATGGGCAAAGGGGGGCGCCTGGGTGGCTCAGTTGGTTAAGCGTCTGCCTTTGGCTCAGGTCATGATGCCAGGGTCCTGGGATCGAGCCCCTCATTGGGCTCCCTTCTCCTCAGGGAGCCTGCTTCTCCCTCTCCTCGTGCCTGCCGCTCCCTGTGCTTGTGCTCTCTGTCAAATGAATAAATCTTTTAAAAAAAAATGGGCAGAGGATTTGAGTAGACATTATTCCTTTTTTTTTTTTTAAGATTTTATTTATTAGAGGAAGAGAGCATGAGTGATGGAGAAGTAGGATACCCTCCTGAGCAGGGATCCCGACGCAGAGCTCAATCCCAGCACCCTGGGATCATAACCTGAGCTGAAGGCAGACACTTAACCAACTGAGCTACCCAAGCACCCCAAATAGACCTTTTTCTATAGGAGACATGCAGATGGCCAACTGGTACATGAAAAGATACCTAAATCACTGATAATCAGGAAATGCACATCAAAACCACAATGAGATACCATCTTACCTATGTTAGAATGGCTAATATCAAAAAGGCTAGAAGTGACAATTGTTGGCTAGGATGTGAAAAAAAAGAGAACCCTTGTGCACTATTGGTGGGAATGCAAATTGGTGCAGCCACTGTGGAAAACAGTATGGAGGTTCTTCAAAAAATTAAGAATAGAACTACCTTATGATCCAACGGTTCCACTTCTGGGTATTTGAAGAAAATGAAAACACTAACTTGAAAAGATATATGGACTCCATATTCATTGAAGCTTTATTTATGTATGTATGTATGTGACAGAGAGATAGCGAGAGCAGGAACACAAGCAGGGGGAGTGGGAGAGGGAGAAGCAGGCCTCCCGCCGAGCAGGGAGCCCGACGTGGGACTCAATCCCAGGACCCTGGGATCATGACCTGAGCCGAAGGCAGACGCCTAACGACTGAGCCACCCAGGCGCCCGAAGCGTTGTTTATAATAGCCAAGATATGGAAACAGCCTAAGTTTCCATTGATGGATGAATGGATAAAGATGTGGTACTTATACATTGGGATATTATTTAGCCACACACACACACACAATGAGATCTTCCCATTTATGGCAAAATGAATGGACACAGAGGGCATTATGCTATGTGAAGTAAGTCAGAGAAAGACAGATATGTGTGATTTTACTTACATATGGAACTTAAAAGGCAAAAAAAAAAAAAAACCCAAAAAACCAGGCTCATAGAACAGATTGGTAGTTGCCTTAAGTGGCGGTGAGGGGGTGCTCAGAATAGATGGAGGAGGTCAGAAGGTACAAACTTGTAGTTATAAATAAGTCCTGGGATATAATGTATAGCATGGTGACTGTTGCTAATAATACTGTATTGCGTATTTGAAAGTTGCAAAGATAGTAGATCTTAAAAGTCTTCATCTGAAGAAAAAGTTTTGGGGCAACTGGATGGCTCAGTTGGTTAAGTATCCGACT